AAATCTCCAACCCAAGGACTTATATATTTATATTTTTGAACAACTAAATTTATTCGCACACAACTAGTAAAAAGCTATAAGGAAAAAAGATTACAAAAATTACAAATCAAAGGGTTGTGAGACCACATGAGCCATTTAATGCTATTTCTACCATTTATACTAGACTACCAATCAAATGAATACATAACAATCTTTTCAAAATCACTACTTCTTTTCATTTTAAACGATTGGAAAACCCAAAAACTTATATTTATTTTATTTTTTGTTGATTTTGATTTTTTATTAGTTGGAAAAGTGCAGAAATAACATAACTAACCCTAAAATATTATATGCAAGCTTTCAACACCAAAATTAATTTATTAACTTAACAATAAATAAATATAGACCATCCCACACTTTTATAAAAAACTCTAATAAACAAATATTTTTAAGATTAATAGAAAATTTTATTTATTAATCATGAAAATTACCCATGGTATATATTTATTTTTTTAATCGATAGATAATTTTTGGTACTGTAAACTTACATATAATATCCGACATGTAATTTCGTAATTTCTCAAAGTTTCTAACACTTAAAAAAACTAAAATTGCCTAAGAAGTATAATAAACAAAAGTCCATAGACTCGACTGTAGATTTCATAAATTATTTTGATTGTTAAATTGCACAAAAAATGGGGAAAATGCTTATGGAAAGACAACATGCTTGCCATTTAAGCAAAACACGTTAACTTGTTTTTATCTTTGGAGAAAATACTTATCTATAAATATATTCGGCTTTCGTTAGGTCCATTGCAAATTGTTAAGATGACATCATATCAATTCCACAATGGAGTACAGTAAAAGGGATAATGACTTAAAAGGGTAATATATTTTTTGATTTGTACACGTTTGGTCATTGAGTTTTTTTTTTCGTCCACATTTACCCCTTCAACTTGTTAAACTGTACACATCCAGTCCTTATGACCGGTTACTCCAGGTTAACCGGGAAAAATGACTTATTAGGGTAATATATTTCTCATTTTGTACACATTTAGTCCTTAATATTTTTGTACACATTTAGTCCTTAATATTTTTTTTGTTTCAAAATAAGTCATTTTTTGTTTTTTGTACCAATTAAGTACTTATGAATGATTTATTTAGGGTTTTTTCTCACGACATCTAACATGGGACTATCATTGATGACAGAGACGGTTCTCTTTGGGTGCCCGCAGTGGCACCGACAACCCCTGCTTTTTCTGTACGCAGTGTAAATTTTTCGATATTTTTTTTTCTTTTTTCTACGGACCGGCAACACCTACTACCAAATCCTGCGTCCGTCCCTGATTGATGAGGTGTTTGGGGCTGTTGATGCTTATGTCCATCGCGACCTCGATTGCTTGGTTGCATAGGTCTTGTGGTTTGGCTTAGGTTTTGTATTTCGAACGTCGTAACTTCTTCATACGATATCTGATTTTAACGATCTTTATATCTACGTGTTCGTTTTTTAAGTCTGCTATAACTTTCGTTAAGATTACTCCCGTTAAAATGTAATATGTTTTTACTAACGATTTTATAAAAAAACCATTCATACATGCATTCATAAAAAACGTATGGATATAAAGATCGTAATTAAAAAATATATTACTTTTTAACGGGAGTAATCTAAACGAAAGTTGTAGTAGACTAAAATACAAACGCATAGATATAAAGATTGTTAAAATCCGAGATAGTATGAAAAAGTTATGACGTTCAAAACACATGACCTAAGCAACTAAGTAGCCGAGATCGCGATGTGCATAAGCATCAAAAGCCTAAAACACCTCGTTAATGATTGTTCCATGTAAGATGTTGTGAGAAAAACTTAAAGAAAACATTCATAAGTATTGAATGAGTACAAAAACAAAAATAAATTATTTTGCAACAAAAAAAATTAAGGACTAAATGTGTACAAAAATATTAAGGACTAAATGTGTACAAAATGAGAAATATATTACCCTAATAAGTCATTTTTCCCGGTTAACCTGGAGTAACCGGTCATAAGGACTGGATGTGTACAGTTTAACAAGTTGAAGGGGTAAATGTGGACGAAAAAAAAAACTCAATGACCAAACGTGTACAAATCAAAAAATATATTACCCTTTTAAGTCATTATCCCTTTTACTGTACTCCATTGTGGAATTGATATGATGTCATCTTAACAATTTGCAATGGACCTAACGAAAGCCGAATATATTTATAGATAAGTATTTTCTCCAAAGATAAAAACAAGTTAACGTGTTTTGCTTAAATGGCAAGCATGTTGTCTTTCCATAAGCATTTTCCCCATTTTTTGTGCAATTTAACAATCAAAATAATTTATGAAATCTACAGTCGAGTCTATGGACTTTTGTTTATTATACTTCTTAGGCAATTTTAGTTTTTTTAAGTGTTAGAAACTTTGAGAAATTACGAAATTACATGTCGGATATTATATGTAAGTTTACAGTACCAAAAATTATCTATCGATTAAAAAAATAAATATATACCATGGGTAATTTTCATGATTAATAAATAAAATTTTCTATTAATCTTAAAAATATTTGTTTATT